ATGTTGGCTCAATATTGGCGGAGAGTCGGCGAATAATGGCGCGTGGATGTCATGGCGTTGTTCATTTAGAGATGAATTGTTTTTGATCGCTTACGCAATTATTGAAGTAGAAGGTTCAGATAGTGCCCAGGGTTGAGCCGACATTTTGTCAGTTTTCGCAAGTATTGATTTCTTTTGAATATAATGGATTTATTCCGAAGCGATAATATTGGTTCAAGCTTGGTTCACCAATGTTGGCTCAATGTTGGTATGAAGTCGGCAAATAATGATGTGCCGGGGTTGCGCCGACATTCCGCCAGTTTCAGCAAGTATTGATTCATTTTGGATAACAAATCTGATTTAATGGATTTATTCCGGAGGGATAACATTGGGTCAAGATTCGTTGCGCAATGTTGGTTAAATGGCGGCAGAAAGTCGGCAAATAATGATGTACCGAGGTTGCGCCGAACTCTGTCAGCATTAGTTCAGTTTTGGGATCAAGTCGCGAAGAAATCGCGCATTTTTGTAGAATTTTTCAAGAAACTGGAGAATTTTCTGGATTTTATAGAATTGCAAATCCATATCCAAGTCAAAAAATGGAGGAGAATCAAATTCCTGCCACAAATGAATAAAACAAAATGGAAGGAATTGAAATTGATGGGATTCATGGAAGTACATGATGAACGAAAGAAATACGAAAGAAATCCAATACGAAAGAAATAATCACTTTAGTAATAAAAATAATAATAATAAAAAATGAAGATAAAAAAGTGAAAGAGAATGAAATTCAAGCGTTGAAAACAAAATAGCAATTCAATGAATAATTCGTAACAACTGCCAAGAGCGTACATACAAGCGATTAAGCCCATTTGACGAATGTCCGGTACGAGGGAGTGAGAAAATGTTCATTTAAATTCGTGGTAAATAGCGTTAATGAAAGCCGTCAGTGAAATGGCCGACTTTGCGTATCTCTTTGAATAATGGATTTCCCGTTATTTTGTTTCTCCATATCGCATTGAAAATTCGTGCGCCACTTTTTCTCCCTCTGCATCCACCAATTCTACATTAATATTTCACGAAAAAAAAAGCGAATGAGAAATACAATTACGTACATTTGAGGAATGCATGAAAAATTTGTGACAAAACCACTTTTTCTTCGGGCACTATTCCGGTTTATTTCATTCCGTCATTCGTGTACGTGATCGGCTGCGAGATTCTCCGTCCTTTCTCCTTCAGTTATCGAGCGTAGATCGTCTTGAATGCTACAGTGGGAGTTGAATAAAATTTTTCAAAGCAAAAAATACTTTCACTTCATTACGTGATTGAGATTCTTCAGGTTCATGATCCCTCATCACTCACGAATTCTCGTTAGAAATCATAATAGACAATTTTTCTGAGAGCGGTTCCCCTGATTGCCATTTTTACTGATCAATTATTCATACTTGCTCGAGTAATTGCTGTCCATTGATTGTTTACACGCTTCCTGGTTCAAGGTTTTTCACAAATTCTCTCTGAAGAGATTATCCACAAATTCATAACCACAGACTTTCAAAATTTAACTGCATGCACTTAACGTCTCTTTATTTTTTATTTTCAATTCGAAATTTATTTTATTGAACTACAATGTTATACATTATAGCGATGGAAGTGCAGGATGACACGTTAATAAGAGCGTGTAATGCCCAATGGGGGAAGGAAATATAATACAACAAACGTATGGTTAATTTTCCACAGGTTAAAGTAGTTGATTACAATGATCATCGCACTTCAACTGCCTCGTGCATACTTCCATTCTCGTGTACCCTCTCCAACTCAATCTCCGGGCTTTCCAGCTCTTCCTCAAATTGAATATAATATCGTTATTGTGGAAATGGAATTGGCTCATTGCATTAGAACGATGCGAGCTTTACGGCGCGTTTTTTTGTAGAAAATGTCAATGAGACTATTTTCTAGATAAAATCTGCAGAATTCCATCCTTCGTTACTTTTTTTATTGAGCCATTCTTTATAGAACTTTCTTCACATGAATTTTCCATGTTTGTTCCACTTTTTTTATTCTCTTTAAAATTCCAAAGATGTAAATTGTGATTTTCTTAGCAGTAACGTGGCCCCGGATATGGAAACCATTTTTTTATCTCAATCTTGTACTGCATGTAAGAAAATGGCGTGAATTGCAGTAGAATTCGTCCTAGTTTTCGAACAATTGTTTCAATATATATTCTTTGATAGAACGCATTCAATTGAAGATTTCATTTTGCGCAAAAGAATATTTATTCTGCATAACGTAGTGAATTAAATTTATAATGTGTCGCACACGAACAAATTTCGTAGAAAAACCCAGCGTTTCAATAGAAAATTGTGCAGCTTTGCTGCGGGTTTTTTAAATGGAAAATCTCAAAGAGATTTCACAGACAAAATCAGCAGAATTCCATCTTTCTTTATTTTTTCTATTCAGACGTTATTTACAGAAATTTCTCTACATGAATCTTCCGAGTTTTTTCCACTTTTTTTATTCTCTTTGAAATTCCTCTTCAGTTACATTTTCCAAAGGGTATTCGGTTTTTAATATCACCCTTGCCGTTTCTGTCAGATGTGACAAGCCCGTGCTTTTGTTACGATCTCCGGGATACAACAAATGACAACGACCATTGATTTTTTTTCCCATTTGTTCTTCGTTGATATAAAAACTTGATCCCTCGCTTTGCAATAAATGTCACGAATTTTCTCGTTGATGATTCTATTGGTGCACGGTTTGTTTGAAATTCGGGGGAAAGAAAACTCAATATCTACAACTGGGACAGGCCGTTCGTGCTCATGAAAATTACATGGAAAATTATAGATTATTCTTACCATTCGAATTTCAGCCGATGGAGTTGCACTCGACCTCGATTTGTTCATAATTATCCCACTTATTACGTCAAAAATGAATGAAGAACGAATGATATGTCAGGCAATCACACCCTCGTCTTGGAAAACCTACAGATTATTATTAAAAAGTGTAAAATGGGGAGGGAGAGGATTGCTGTGATTCTCAAGTAGATCTCAATCGTTCAGATCTTGATTATTTGAGATTGTGATGAAAACTGAAATTTACGTACGAAAAAATTCTATTAGATTTCTATTGCACCATATTTTTTGTAAATTTACAAATTACAAAAAAAGAAAAGAAACGGGAAATAGAGTGGAAAAAGATTGGAAAACTCATGTCGAGGAATTTCTGTAAAAAATGTTTCAGTGGAAAAAGTAGAAAGACGAAATTCTACTGATTTTTTTCTATAAAATATTTTCGTGCCTGACGAATTGTATAAATCAACATCATAAAATTATACAATAAATAAAATTCTACTTTAAAAGACGTCAGAGTGCGCGGTACTCTTAACTCAAACGAGCAAGAAGTAAATTTCTCTAGTAATCGTGAAGAAACCTATTATAGTTTGAACGCAGTAGCCAAGCCGGTTAATTAATAATCAACTTAACAGCTTGTCTATCGCAGACTTGCTCTCCTGGCCTGCTGCAAAAAGTGTGAGTGCTCTGAGGTGTGGGAAATCGATGAAAATGGCTCATAAATCTGGTGAGTGGAGTGAATGGGACGGTACTGGGAACAATTGGCTTTTCGGATAAACGAACCGTAATGTTTGCAATTTAGTTACCAGCTTATGGAGGATTTCATGTTTTTGCTTCATTGCAGTGTTTCGTGGTTTATGATTTATTTGTTGTGTGGGTAGAGCAGGATTGTATGAGGATGGGGATTTTGCGACACAGCTGGACTCTTTCGAGAGGAGAAATAATGGTCAGGGCTAGCTGAAGGGAAATTGTTTTTTTTTATAGTTGGAATTATTTCAAAAATTAATTTTACTTGTGGGGAGCTCTTTTTTTGTTCAAATTTCAAATTTATTATATTTATAATCACTAACCACTGGAGATCGTCACGTCCAGTCAGACCGGACACTATTCCAGATACATAACGGAAATAACCACGAGTCTGCTTCATTTGGCGCACAGGGCGTTCCCTAGATTCAATGGTATTGAAAGCGAACAAAAAATTCCGTAATGAAAAAAAAATACGGATGTCCAAGTGGAAACAAAAGAATCACTCGACAAGAATAACTCCCAATTTTCCAGGATTTCTCGTCGCTCTGAGACGAAATGCTAATTTAATAATTCCAACAGCGCGATAATAACGCAGTGAACGAAACAAGAATAAATAAAAATCCAGGGTAATTAACACGGGGAATTCGATCGATGTGTCGTGCACTAGAGCCGAGCCGAGACCCCGTAGGGCAACAGGTGGAGAATGCTCTCGCCGTATTCAACGTTCATGGTGCAAATAAAAAATTCCAGACTCGATTGCAGTGGTAAATGGAATTGAAAATCTTGTGCATTATTTTTTTTCACCAGACAGATTCAGTTGCGATATCACATCGCGTGGAATGAATTTATGATTGCGTGACTGTAGAGGGGTTGGGAATTGTTTTTTCATTGCATTTGTAAAATTTATATGGACTGGCATATGTTTCTATTTCAAATTCAGAGGAATGGTCGGGTAGAATAGAATAATTAGGAAGTGAGGAAGAGCAAGCTAATCATTTTAGTGCAAAAGGAATTTTCTATTCCTCCAGTCAAAAAAAAAATTATTGCAAACGCAATTACACACATTCAACATTAAATAACAGTCTCCGGAATGGCGGAGGTTTTCTATTGCTCAAATATTAATTTATTTAATCATTAATTTAAAAAAATAGCAATTCTAAACGATAAAAAAGAGTTTTCGTTATCTAGTTGGTCCGTTGATGTGACGAATTACGAAAAATATATAATTGAGTAGCGAAGCGGTAAAACGATTCAAGTCGCCTTGGCTCTCAGCTGTCTTCAATTAATTTTATCGTTCATAATTAATCTCAATTAAAATTCAATCAATACGAATAGTGAAAAAATGCTAATAACGGCTGTTACGCGCAAGATCCCCTTTCACCAGACGTCACCGGATTCCCGGAAAGCCCAAAACTCCAAGGCCATACCTACCTGACCCTCAGACGTCATAACGGCGCCGCGTTGTTGTGTTCCACTCTCGTCCGGCCGAAGGGATTAGAAGACAATGGCAAAATGTTCAGATCGATACCTGTAAATTCCGGCGGAAATATGCCATCGCAACTGAGAGACGAGTCTCCAGAACGTCATCCCATTGATATTACGGCGGAATGGACGCTCTAGAGTCTAGACTACTGGAGCTAACGTCACCGCTGATTTGTTGCAATAATTCACATCTCTATTAGTAATTGTGATACTGAGAAAAGAGAACGGGCATATAATAATTGCGGAAAAATACAACAAACATTTTTCACTTCAACTATTTTTTGATCCATGAATGAATTCCTTCGTTAGACCCATTCACACACGGAGAGAAATATTCAATAAAAATTACGTATCTTCTCCGTAATTCCGGAGCGAATCATGGCTGTAGGAAATTTTACGGAATCGTCACGGAATTTTTCCAGAGCGTTCCGTAATTTTTATCTGAATCTCCTGGGAAAAATCACGATACGGTCACTTCAATTTTCTGAGTCGATTTCGTAATCGGTAAGCGAACTGTGAATTTCGTATTTTTTACTGAACATTTCTCTCCGTGTATTTTTAATATTTTGAGGACCATTTTTCTGCCCATTTTAAATGAGCGGTGCAATTTTTTAAATTAAAAAAAAAAATAGCCGCGTAGGAGTCGAATTTCAAAAGGCCAACTCATCATTTCTGTCCTACACTTTTCTTTCAAAAATTTTGAAAAAAAAACCTGTGGCGCTGGGCTATTTTTAACGCTTCAAGCGCCTGCGGGGCAAACGAACGATAAACAACCAATTTTTTCGCACTAATTATTCGGTTTTAGACACTCCAATAGCCCGCGAATTTTCAAACTCACAGTAGTCTCTTGAAACAATTCACGCGTTAATCAATTTTTTTAGATCACTCACTCGAAAAATGCGTTATAGTGAAAAATTGCACGCTCAAATGCCCGTCTCCATCTGCACAATGAAACCAAAAACGCGTCCGGTTCTTGCACCTGTGGAGCCCCTCCCACCCCATTTTCGCTACCTGATATCCCCTCCCCCACCTGTAATTTACAGTTTCGCACTGGGGGACGTGCTAAAAGAGGTCCGGTGGGTGTCTCAAGGGTCAGTTGTGTCGTCGAATCGATCCTGATCGGACTAAATTTCCGGTTAAATATTCAATCATATGTTTTATCACCTCCTCCACAAAAATTCCCCGCTCTAAAACTAAAAGAATTATTTTTAAAAATATTCCATCGGGCGAAGTGAAGTGAGTTTATCAAAAATTTAATCGTAAAATTGTGGAACCAATGACGATAGAGAAATAAATATCTCGCGTGCACGTAGGTCATGGACCGTGATTTTTTTCCTCGCACGTAATTGATGATTTGACGTCAGATGGAACTCCCCGGGAATTGGATACTCGATAAATAACGTGTCTAACGGATTTATTCGTCAATGGTTGGGCGTTCGTATCGCCAGTGTCATTTGTTAGTGTCTGTGAGGCGTGAATTGTGACGGCTGTAATAACGTACATGTGTACATATATAAATACTTGCTTAGTTTATCGTGTTGTGGCTGTAGTACACAGCACAACCGGTGAATTGACAGTGTCTGGACGAACGGGGTGCCGTGCGGTAGCATCACGTTCCACGGTTTTTGGACATTTAAACAATTTGTGGATGGACGGTTTACTTGGTTAGCGGCGTTCACTCTTGGGTCGCATCCGGAACTTTAGGATTTTATCTGTTTTTTTTTCTTCTGTGGACATGAAGAGAACTCTGGAAACTGCGGGATTCCTCGTGGCTTCGTTTTTTATTTTTGTGGTAATTGTTATTTCGATATTTTTAGGAAGTTTTCACCGCATTTAGTTGGGGGAAACTTCCTGTTTTCATTCAATTTTTGTATGGACTGAATTTCACGCACTGATAAATGCAGTAGAAAAGTGAATGAAACGTATATAAAAAATGAATCAATGGTAGAATGAATGACGAGTGGAAAATTAAAGAATAATTATAAATTTTTTATGAATTCCCTGATCAAACTCTGGAAGTTGAAGCAGTGCTCGTAGCTTCATTTTTTTAATGGTAATTGTTATTTTGATGTTTTTATGAAGTTTTCTCACTCATAAATGCAGTATAAAAATGAATGAATGGTAAAATGAATTACGAGTGGAAAATTAAAGAATAATTATAAATTTTTTATGAATTCCCTGATGAAACTCTGGAAATTGAAGCAGTGCTCGTAGCTTCATTTTTTTATGGTAATTGTTATTTCGATGTTTTTATGAAGTTTTCTCACTCATAAATGCAGTATAAAAATGAATGATACATCTATAAAAATGAATGAATGGTAAAATTAATGACGAGTGAAAAATTAAGGAATAATTCTAAATTTTTGATGAATTCCCTTTCATTTATTTCAGAGTAACACGTGTGTACATTTATACCGTTTAAATGGACTAGTGGTGTTTGTCAAAGGTTGAGCGCAATCAGCTGGATCTTTTAATGAGTGATTTATATTCTCTGTTATATGGTTACATTCATTCATTCATCGCTAGAGAAGCGAGACGCGTCAGCTGGTGATGCATGGTTAATTGAATGAGCGCATAGGAGATGATGATTTTGATTGAGGTAGTGGGATTATGAGTTCGTTATAGGTAATTCATGTCGGTTGAGGGTTTAGTCCCATTGGTTGAGGTAATTTGAAACACCGGAAATGAGACGCTTTTACGGTATTGGAAATTTCTGGGTTAAACTCTCAGAAAATTACATTCAAAATCCACAATTTGATAGAAAACTTCATGTAAATTGTAAATTATTCCATGAAAATTAATAGAAATTAGGAAAATTCAAGTGAATACTCACGTTTTATCAAGAATCCAAGAAATATTTAATATCTATTTATTGATAACAACGTTGATTAAAATCAACAAAAAAAGTCAAAACTTGATAAATTACTTATTCAACAGAAAAAAAGCATTCGGATTAGCGTCACGATTACATTTTAGAAAATTATTATTACTTTTTGTCGTGGGATTTTTTCTAAAATTTTTTTATCGTGATTTTTTCGAAAATTTACAAAGTGATGGGAGACTTTATTTATTGAGATTATTGAGTGTATAATTACTTGACTATAATAGTACAGAATTAAACTTAATTATTGTTCAACTAATTTAACCTAGAATGGTACTTAATAATTGTATTTTTTACGAACAACTCGGACGAAAAAAATATGGTAATTCGGTGGAATCTAATTATCCTCCCCTTTCATTCTGATTCTAATGAAATGAAAATGTCGGCTCATGACTGGGAGAAAATGAAGTATAAGGGTGGATGAATTTATTGATCATCCATCAATGAATTATGAGACTACTTACCCCGGAAGAAAAATGACGACGCTGAATGAAAGTTCTGTTCCAGAAAATTAATCTCTCGTGGGGATTAGAAAGGGTAATTTATTGAAATTGCAACGGGGTTCCATTTATTTTGAATAAGACATAATGGAATTAAATTGATGGTCTATTCACGATCACCGATTAGAATCTATTACACTCACTGTGTGGGAATGATATTAATTGTTTCTCATCGTTCAACTTTGTGTGATTTCGTCAGATTTAAATGGGGTGAGAAGAAAAAGTCTGAAAAACAAATTGAAAAATTCATGTCCAGGAATTTCTGTAGAAAGTTTCTGTGAACTTCTGATTTTTTCTATGAAATAGTTTCGAAAAAAGTTAGTTAAAATACAAATTAAAACATATTATTTTGTGATAGTTTAAATACAAATTAAATAATTCCGAAAAAATTCTAGAATTTCTATAGAATTATTGATAATTCTCGATTCACTGGAGGAAAAATAATTCTCGATTTTTCTCCAGTGAAATATTTTTCTACTTTTGTAATCGAATTCATCAAAAATCATTTGTTCGGAATCATAACAAATTTATTCGGATTCAGAATTTTACCAGAAATCGATTTAATGCAAAAAAAGGTTTCCGGAAATTTAAACAATTCCAGTTATTTATCTATAAACAGCGAATGTTTAAAAAAATAATGAAAAATAATAATTAATTCGTTTCAAATTTTTCTTCCGCAATTTAATTGACAAATTTGATGATTGAAAATGTTTAAATCTATAATATGGTCCGTGCCGAACTGTAAAAGATCCTTGGATATCCTTAAAATAACTTTCAAGGGATTCTACTATCCAATCATTGCATAACACATTTTTTATTCATGTTATTGACAAATACTCGCGACTGAAACCACTTGTTTTATCCACCAACGCGCACCCGTGATATTCCATTACCGTCAGCATAACGAAAATGCCTGAGGGAGATATTCCGTGAGGGTTTTACATCCCTTGGGATTCGCCAGACGCAAACGAGAGTAACTCCATTGATGCTCCCCGGCAGTAATGATTACGACATCTAGTTATCACGAATTTTATCTCCCGCGTTGTGTGATACATCCTTCAATCTCATTTTTTCAATCAAATCCAATAACGAGAGCAGAATAAGCAGATTCATTCAGTGATTTTTTTTTTACTTTGCAAGGAGAAAATTATGGGACATTGACGAAATAATTGAAACCATTCCACTTGATTTGTCGTTGATTCACTTATTTCATATAATTAAAATATTCTCTTCGAAATAAACATGGGTTTATTAATTTATAATCACCATATTGTTGAAATTAACAGAAGAATTCTAAACAAAGAATTTAATTTCCTTTAAATTTTCCATTTCTTTGTGTGCAAGTGTTGACAGCGAAAATCGACCAGTTTTCGAAGAATATCTCTGAATCTAAGAGAGATAGCGAAATTTTTGTAATAACCTTTTTTGTAGCTCTTAGTTTGCTCTATAAAAAATGTTGTAACGAAAATTTCGCTATCTGCTCTAGATTCCGAGATATTCATTAAGAACTGACGAATAAAACGAAAAAACGCCACTCAATTCCAAAAGTTGTAATAAAGTCGTCATAATAATCCGTGAAATCATGGTAATTTCTCTGAGATTTCTGCGTTCTATTGATGAATCACAGCAATCTCATTTTCATTCATAAGGGTCACAGACCGCAATATTGTGAAAATTCTGCAGTTCGCCGCTCTGACAATGAGCAATATTCTCGGCGTGTGGCCTTGTGTAACGGTACACCTAATCTAAGAAACCTGCGGTCTCGCGCATTACGTTCATCCGGCGGGAAATGCGTCCGTTGAGTGCCGATGAGTAATGTGCATGTGACTAACTAAAATGCATCATGAAAAATGAACATCCCATGAAAAATTTCAATATTTTATTTTTTATTGTCTGTCATTCCTCTTGATTACTTTTTCCCTCGGAATTTCCACCGAGTTCAGCCTACAGAATCGCTGCATTTGACCTCAGGGGTGATGATGATGATGATGAAAGCATTTATCAAGTCCTGGGGCGTGATAACCCTCTAAGGACGTTAAGTAGTCTTAAGCACTTTTGGAATGCATGAATAAATTACAATAAATTGTAGTCAGATAATCATAATTGATTGTAGAAAAGAGGGTCAGTATCTATTAAACTCTATTTTTCACTCGAGTTTCTTTAGAATCATCATTTATGTATTTTTTTAAATCAATAATTACATTAGTTTTTTCAAAATTACTCATTTCAATTTGGTTTTGTATCACTCTGACCCCAGTTCGCGGAAAAACATTTTCACGGTATCGTTCAAACCTAATCAAATCTTTCAGTTATAATACGAATTATAATATTGAACATGGATTTAATAATTAAGTGTCTGTGGGGAACGGAGAGGGAATTATTTCGAAAATTTTCATAAGAAAATTCCATTGGATTTTTATTCAGATTTCCATTAATTTTTGATCGATTCTAGTGAACAATTTCGCAGCTTTTCTGCGCTTTTTTTCAATAGAATACGAATTTTCTACAGAAATTCCTCTACTGAATACGTTTGCAAAAATTTCGGGAAACCGGCACAATAAATCAAGTTGTGAGACAGATGATGTGTTTAAAATTTGTTTGCGCGAGAGGGCTTTGATATCTGAATAACTTATAAATGAAAGAATTTCAGGCGTAAAAATGTTTGACAGTAAACGTCTGAAATTTTATGATGAAGAAAATATTCGAGTCCTTTCTAAACACAAGCGCCTGAAATTGTCAGACATTTCGGCGAATTTCATATATTTAAGACGATTCAGACTGTTTTCCGTGGAACGAAGTAACCAACTAGTCACATTTATTCCTCCACTGTCCCTTGATTTTTCACCTATCAATTTATCAGCATGAAGATGAGCGGATACATTGATTGATACCAATAATCTTTATAAAAATTTGTATCACGTTGCGGTGACATCTAATCAATCTCGTACAATTTATCATCGTGATTATGAATCTGATAGAGAGTTGTATTTGAAAATCTCCGCATGCCACGGAGATTATTGATGATTCGACGAATTCCGTTCAATCAACGTAATGTGGGTTGGGAAAAAAACCAACGAAAAATTCCCAGGAAACGGCAGTGAAAAATGACTGAAGAATGTAAAGTCAAAATTTACTGTACGTGCGGTAGGATTTATCTGTCTTTCGGGCACTTTTTCACCAACAGCTCGCAAATTTCACCCTTTTTGTGACAAATTACGGCGCACAAAGGAAAATTCGTCCTTCGCCTCGCGTTTTTTAAAAATTCCTGAAATCCCTTCGCTCTGCGATTATTTCGATTCTTTGGTGATTTTTTCTCCGCGTGATTTTAGAGGTAAAAATATTCTGTTTAGTCGTCTTGCCACTGCAGTACATCACATCACATCACATTTTTTAAAATCATGCTCGCAAAAATTGAATTATGATTCCCTGATGAGTGACCGATAAATTCATTCACCCGAGCGCTATTTTCTCCCACTCGTATAGACCCACATTTCCATGCTATTTTAATCAGAATGGAGGAGGAGAACCGAATTGACCCGCGTTATGATATTTTATTCGCCTCTGCTTAAATACATCTATTGAATTCAGCATTGGATAGAGTTTCACAACTCTGATATTTTTTATTCCATGTGAATTTCAAATACAACGAGTGTCTGAAGAGGACCCAAATATTTCTTTCATCTGAAAAATTCCGGACGTTTATTTTCAGTGACTTTTTATTCTCCAATTTTTGTTTTATGTCGAATGAAATTGCATGGAAATGTTGAAATTCTTTCCATTTGAAACAAGAATTTCAAGCACAAAAATTTAAATCACAAATGGTAATATCATCATTTCTATAAAGTCTACTGTGACAAATGACGACCTAACAGGCATTAGATACATCAAATTATTAATCTGCAATTTCTTCTCGATTGGGTTTATTTCCCAATATTATTCAAAACCGCTCTTTGAAAATGTTCAGCTTTTTTTCAACGTTTTTTTGATTGTACAATCATAATTTTTGGAGACTCCAGGGCTATGTAAAACTGAATAGCAATTGGAGATCATTTCAGATTATCAAAATAAAAAAAACAATCAAGACCTTGAATCGATGAACCGAGAATTTGTGACTGATGAGTTTATCGAATCAATTCCTCGCACAATCATCAAACCCTGATGTTATTGATTGTGATAAGTGCGGAACAATTGACTAAACTCACAACACATGTCGTACGAGGAAGTGACGGCATTTTTAGCAATTTTATCGATCCCAGTGCGTTATTAGTTTCACACGGAGAGAAATTCCGGAGATTATTCAATAAAAATGACGTATTTTTTCCGTAATTCCGGAGCGAAATCTGGTTGTAGAAAATTTTACGGAACTGTCACGGAATTTATCCGGCGCGTTCCATAATTTTTACTGAACATTTCTATCCGTCCATTTAATCGTCGTTTGGGGAAAATTCAATAAACGACTATGACCGCACAAAGGACTCTCTTCCATGAAATAATGGCGGGATAAATCTATTGCATTCAGTATTGGATATTGTATTTCACAATGCTTTGACATTTTTTATTAAAAAATATGAAATATTGAGGCATTTCCGATGACACGGAAACACCTGTTGTGATGCAAACATGAATTACACGGTCGTTTAACAGCCGGCGCTAATTCCGGATGGAGACAAATGGGATGATAATGCTAGAGTGAGATAAGTGGCATGATAATGACGGGTGAACCATCGATGTTTTCCCAGTCTAGTGGAAAGTTTTTTTTCAAATCGGCGACAATGTTCAGTAAGTTTACTCCGAGAGTTTCAAATTTTTTTTTATCGGGCGTTTTTCCACTAGAAAATGCCCAGTAGGAGCCATTTTATGGAAAAATCAGTGGAATTTCGTCTTTCTATTCATCGATATGAATTTATCATTATTTCCGCGTCATTTTTCTTCTCTTTTCATTTTAAAAACTCAAACGAATTTCTACTGAATGGAAAATTATTATTCTAATCAGTATTCCCAAGAATAACAAAAAGTTGATAAAAAATTTTTTTTTGCTTGAATCGCGTCAAACAGACGTTTTTTCTGTTTTGTCTAGTTCACTTTGCCCGAGCGGTTCATTTTGCCCCACTCTCCGCTAGCATATTCGACCTCTCGAGGCGAAATTTCGTTCTCCTGACTCAAAAAATTCGAAATTTCGGATTCGAAGAATACAAAGCATCAATTCGCGAGCAAAAACGTCTGTAGATATCGGAAATTTTGATATTTTTATTGCAGGTGACTCAAAGAGTCGAGTGTTATCCCCAGAAATGGCCGCCATTCTACTCCCCAGAGGGTGACACCTCGAGGATCTCTGAATTGCCGCCGTCATCACCAATCACGCCCTCTCGCGAGGGTAAACGTGACGATGATGAATCCATCGTCACTGCGAGTGCAGTGGACCCGAAGCAAAGGGGCGACAGTCGAGGGGACGCGGAGTTGAGTGAAGACATGGACGAAGAGACGAAGCGAGTGCTCGAAGAAGCCTTCCGGACGTCTTTGGAAGATTTAAAGGAATTTGAGGACAAATCCAAGAGTAGACCCGTTGACGAAATGCACCTCAGACGATATGACTTCAAGCACGGAATCAGTAAATTTTCATCTTCATTCATGTTTTTGTTCCGGAGAAACCGTTTTTCCAGAAAAATTATCGGACGATAATGCGATAAATCCAATTCAGTAGCGAAGTGATAAAACGGTTTAAGTCGATATCTCCCAGTTGAGTTTTTGAGAAATATTTCCGAATCTAAGGGAGATATCGAAATTTTCGTAATTACATTTGTTGTAGCTCTCACTCGGCTCTGAAAAACAGGTCATAATAAAAATTTCGCTATCTCCCTCAGATTTCGAGATATTCGTTGAAAACTGGTCAATTGTCAAAATTGACTTGGACCGTTTCACCACTTCGCTACTGAATTCCATTCAATTCCTGACATTTATCAATTTAATTCATCCCCGTTTCCTTTATTTCAGGACCAGGCAACTTGGTTCCTTACATCGGAGACAGAATAGTATTTCCAGAGAACGGAGTGATGTCAAGTGTGAAGAAAGACAGGCGAGGACCGACCTGTCGACGCGGAACATTTTGTGAAGACACACCTTCTTATCCGATTGAGCTGATCAACCGAGCCATCAGGTCGGACACAAATCTCAAGTATCTACAGGTCAAGGATGAGCTTGAAGTGAGTGAACTCGTAAAGCTTTCGAAAACTCTAACTGTCACTCCACGAGAAATGCATTTCCCAGAGCCTTTTGAGGCTCTTGCGCTTATGCTAGTTATGTATTCATATTCGTATTTTCAGGCGACCGTTTCACTGAGGACATCAGGGCTAGAAGAAGTACTTTGCGAATCAAAGGTAAATGCATACTTTATTCAGCAGAATGATTTTCCGATGCCGAGAAAAGCAACTCTCATTTCTGCATTTCAAAACGTCTTTGTTTATAGAAACAATTGGTTCGACCCAGAGTTGCCAAAAATAAGAACAGCGAGTGGCGGTACATCGTGAACACTGATAACTTCACACAGGCGATTGGAGTGGAAACCTGCGAGTGAGTGACAATAATTTGAGTTCCTATTAATATTATACATCAGAAATTTGAGTGAAGAAGGTAAAGCTTCTCACAAGTAAATGGGATAATAGCCCTTGCAATGTACAATCGGTTGACGAGAAAATGAGGTTTTTCAAAACTGTTGTTTCAAAACTGTTGCTATCCATTTCCTAGTACTTTTTTGCGCGATTCGATCCCAATTTGAACTTTTCACTCGACTCAGATTAATAATTATTGATAATTTTGTTGAGTCCGAGTAGGGCCGGTAATACCGCTCGGCTGGTGCGGGCAACATCGCTCGACTGGATGTCAATATCACTCAGTAATTCTATGCGTTGTAATGATGAGAAGTCTGCAAAACCCAACAAGCGAGAAATGTCGGAGGTTCTAATACGATGTGCTATAATAATCAACATAATAATAAATGATTGTATTTTTTATTCCTTCAAACTACATGAATCAACTTGAATAATTAATGGAAAAACAATCACACAACTCACAATTCTCCATGGGACGTAACAAATTTTATTGTTCACTCTATTTCTCAATATTCACTCCATTCACTTCATAATTTGTTTCTATAATTTGACAGTGGTTGGTTCGAGGTTAGGCTACAGCGCGAGGGATACACGTAGCAGACTGTGAGCGATATTGAGTCCTTCCGAGCGGTGTTGCTCGAGGGCGGGAAATGCCGCTCAAACGCCTCTCACTTTCGTTTTTCATTCATTCTGTAAATTCTGGAAAGAATTGGATTTCCACACGTAATAAATCACGCATAATGCAAAACTGACATTTCTCTGTTTGTTCCCAGCAACAACGATAGCCCCTGTAAACTGGTGGATAATTTCGCAGGCGGGTACAGGACAATGTGCAAACAGAATTACATCTATCGTGAACTTGTGGCTGTAGGATCTGACAACAAAATAGCAACGGAGAAGTTCCAAATACCAGCGAGCTGCTGCTGTCACGTTCAATTCATTGGAGATCCAACTCTTCGAATGGGCACTAATCTCCAAAAGAGTGACTCATAAGGGCCAAAGGTCCAAACGACTCGGAGCAACGGAATTAATCGATGGTTCAATCAATTAATTGATTGTAACGACTCTTGGGCTTTTTTATTTTCATCGCATCTTCAAGTGTCAATTGCAATGTGCACACGCAGTGGTCTTGGAATTGTCAGACAAGGGACCGAGTGGGCATAGTTCGTCATCTCTATCGTCATGAAATGTCTAATATCGAGAGCGTTGGCTTGAAAGCAAATTCTCTCCTCAATATTTCTGAACAAGTTTCCCGCTATTTCCTCTCCCTCATTCGGTGATTCCTCCATAATACCACGGAGGATCGATCGTCGCAGATGTATAAGGATTGTTATGCCCGGGGGCCATAAAATAGAGTATCTTTGGGATGAAGGTGAACTCATGGTGAAACGCGAGATTTTTGTTTATATCAATCAACGACATAGTCTGTAAGATTTAATATATGAATATATATTTATATGAGATTGTATAATGTTTGAATTGTGTATAATACGGTTGAAAAACTTCATTGTGATATTACAGTTATGATTGATTTCGAGATGCAATTATTATTTTGATCAATAATATAATCGATTTACAAACTGAGGTGTTTCGCCTGATTTTTTTTCTGTAGAATAGTTTCTACTGGACAGAAATCCGATAGAATTTTTTATCGGATCCTCTGTGAAATTCTTTCGAAATTTTCATTGAAAATTCACAATTTCATGAAAAAAATCAATGGGAACTGCAAATTTTGGGGCGATTGAGACATAAATATTTATGGAAAAGAGAACAATTGAGGTGAATGTAATCTTGATGTCTTTATCAACTACTAACTCAGCGTAATTTTGCGGCATGAAGATGGCCCATCAAATTCATCAGTACAAGGGGAGAACGCTGACGTCTCTATTGTGGATTGAGGGGCTTAACGAACAGTTTAATTGGACTAGAGAGTAATCCCAAAACTTGTTGATGGCGCACATCTGTTAGACTCCAGCCACTACAGACTCATTAAGATAATTCGGAATCGCACAACACTGGGACTTGAAGTTTTGGTGGTGTTTTTTCGCGTCAGCAGGAAACGCATTGAAAACGTTTGAGTTTTATGTATTTGTTAACGATCGGAGGCAGTAAGTTTCTCCCTACGGGTAGAGAAGTTAAAAAAGTAATTGCCGGCTTGTTTTCACGCCGGTATTATATTTTCTACCGAAAAAACGCGCCGGCTACCATTACCGGGAGAAACAGGCCGCGGCAATTTTCCAAATTACAGAACCATCATCATATTTACGCGTCGATGTATGCCACAATGTCTACCACAACATCGATTATTGCTCCTATAACGATAATCATCCGATACATGGAGAGAAAAATTCAATAAAAAGTGTGAGTCGAAACTGAAATTGCACGAATCGCCACGTAAATTCTGGATTCGATTCGTGCACTCTAAATACATCAAAAAGTACAAATAAGAGAAATAAAATGATTTGTGAGCTCCATGAGACTTACGAATGGATATGTGAACAAGTTTTCACACGAATTTTGAGATACCCTTCTTTAAAAAAAAAATTGAAATACTCTCGTTTTATTAGGAGACGTCGATTTTTCACGATCACGGGAAAAATTTAATTTTTGTGAAAGATATTAAATTGCCTTCCGTCAAGTTGGCTAATTTCCCTCAAGTAAATCTGTTCCACTCCATCAAATATTCTCACGTTTTCCCGCTCACACGATCATCGCTGACGTGCCATTTCATTGTTTTGCATCCCTGTACCCCATCCATCGCAAAATACCACGTGTATTTGATGTGTCGAGTTTCTAAATCGTCTGAGTAAGCCGAATCATATTTTCATGGACACGCGTATCTGCGGCCCACCATTGGTTCAATATTGTTACGGGTCAATATTGTTATGGGAGTTGAAACTGCTGATGGATAAAGATTCCGATAAAAATCCGTAACGCCCACCCTCCAGCGTAAATGCACATTTATGGATCATTTACCCTGTACCCATTTGGGGCATAACGTTACTACCCTTTCTGAAACTCGTCCGTAGATGTTATCCCCCACACTAAATAAGGATATTCGCTTTTTTGGAAGCCCTGCTTTATTCAAAGAATATCAACTGGAAATATCGGATAAACACGGGGAAGGCGGGCTGGATAAGAAACGGATTTACTGAAACTTCAAGAAAGATTGGAAGTTTCAAAGAGACAAAAGGGTTCTACGTATATTAAAGTAACTCTACCCTTACGGTAAATTCAAAGATTATTGAAAACTGCAAAGAAATTGCAGAAAACTCGATTAGATCCGGAATTCTAATTTTTTTCTCAATTTAATAATCGTTTTGGTTTTTCAAAGAAGAAATGTTTAAAAATCAGGATTTAATCCAGTGTCTTATGTGACGATCAACATTTCCATTGCAATCAAAGATTAAAATCTGAATTTTTTTGCATTAGATGTGAAAAAATCAATAATTTTTTGACCCCTCATAAAAAATAATCCACCGTTTTGCAAACAAGTTTTATTATTTATTTATAAGAGGGAAATGTTTGGAAAAATATCAATATCTGAGATTTTTCAAATTTTGAGTTTTTATTTTTCTCTCTTTTGATTATTGAAGAATAACTGTTTCATTGGGAATTTTTAATTTTTAATTCTCTATATATTTTTCGAATAACCCCTGACCACGCACATGATCTCCTGAAATGAGATCTCGTGCGGGAATTTCGGGCATTTGTTTGTCTCAAGTATATCCGTTTAGCATAAATCAATTTTCCCCGTGTGATTTGTTAAGCCTCTCACGTCTATTGTCGTCGGACAGAGTACATCCTGCATTTATCCCTTGAAGAGGGAAAGATGGGCACTAGAGTGTTTACACAGGTTTTGTATTATTTTTTCCATTGAGATTCCGATCAATCGAAGAGCAGTGTCAGGGGTCGCTTGACACCCCAGTAACAGTTCTGCCTTGATAGATCACCCGGGCACGGGTGATTCATCACACCGATAATTTCACGGTCAACTGTCAAAGCTTTCCCCGTCAACTGACAAATATTTCCCATATATTCACGAATTGTGTCATATGATCTCAAAAATCGCAGCCTAATCCGCCTAAATCAAAGCGAAAAAATTTGGTTTTAAGGCTCTATCTCTCATAGTTTCCGAGATAATCGCAAAAAACGAAAATGCCAAAAAAAATTAATTTAATTCATCTTGTATAAGGCCTAGGAAGTGGAAAAACGCAATTCTGAGCCGTTCATCTGCCTATACGGAACCCAAATTTCCTCAGGAATCGAATGGAACCGGTTTTAAGGCTCTATCTCTCATAGTTTCCGAGATAATCGCAAAAAACGAAAATGCCAAAAAAAATAACTCGTGGAATTGTTGAAAAACTGTTGAATAAAAATTCAAGTTCGAGGGACAGTCCATAAAATTTTGAATTTCACCGAACACTCAGTGGAATTACAAATTGTTCAGTAACAACTCGGAATTTCAGACGAGAATTCCCATGCACTACCCGGCAGTTTGCGGTAGAATTGGACGTAACGATTGGAATACTTCTCAAAATAACAAAAACATCGGCGATAAAGAGTTAAGACACGACATTATATCTCAATGTGGTGAACTCTGCAGCTCAATTGTAAATAGAGAAGAAAATAAACAACGGGAGAGAGAATTCGAAGTCCAGTCGTTTCCGGAGTCAGTCAACCGTTGTTGTTTTTCACTCTGTATTGTTATGTTATCAGTGTCCCTCTGTCATGATGACTATGCGGGAATATCACACTGAAAAAAGGGATGTGTGTGGAGAGAAACGTTGGATAAAAATTGCAGAGAAAATAGTAGCCAATTCAGTGAAAAAATACCTGTTTGTGGAGGATATTTTACGATTCGTTAAAAAAATCCATAGAATTTTTCTAGAAAATTTCTCTCCGTGTATTCGTCTGAGATTTTTTCCCCGATATTGAATGAAAAAGTACTGAAAATGGAGTTCGCTCCACGACTACTTGACTTGTTCGGTAATTTTTTGCGGTTACTCCTTGTAATTTTCAGTGAAAATCTTTAGAAGAACAAAAATCTGGTTTCGAAATCTAGCGAAGAAAAAATCCTGGAGATACGTGAAATTTGCCTTCATCTCAAGACAATTTTTCCGAGAAATCAGAGAAAAAAGGTCTGATTTTTTGTTATTTTTGCTTTAATGTAGTGCAATTGTACTTAAATTGAGGCCAATTTTATTTTAGAAAAATGTTGATTGTGGAATTCATAATCCATTTTTCGACATAAGCAAAATAATCACTCATGTCATCTGTAAAAAAAGGGGGGGAAATCAACTCAAGTACCTAATACATATGTCAATTCTCCAAAGTTCGTGTATTGCGATGTCTGTCCTCACCAGCCGTTGAATTGACATCTGGAGGGTAAAGTGATGATGAATTAAGGCTTGTTTGCTGAAGAGATTGGAACTTGTGAGAAATCGTCTTTCCACTCTGGAAAATCGCATGGAGGGTGTGCCTGCACCGCTCACCTAAGGGGAACTGTCAATTTCTCATCTCAAACTTTCACTCTGAATGAGAAAAATTACTATAGAAAAATTATTGTGGAGACCCAACTCTTTCTAGACTTTACAAAATGTTTAAAAAACGAAAGTGAGAGGCGCTTGAGCGGTACTTCCCGCCCTCGAGCAACACCGCTCGGAAGGACTCAATATCGCTCGCAGTCTGTTCCGTGTATCTCTCGCGCTGTACCCTAATCTCGAACGAAGCGCTGTCAAACTACAGAAAAAAAACACGTCGTATTAGGACCTGCGACATTTCTTGCTCAATATTGTTGGGTTTTGCGCTTCTCATCATTACAACGCACAGAATTACTGAGTGGTATTGACATCCAGCCGAGAGGTATTACCGGTCCAAATTGGGCTCAAGTCGCGCGAGAATCGGATGACAACAGCTTTGCAACACAATTTGGGGGTTGAAACCATAAAAAACCTTATTTACTGGCCTCAAGAATTCGTTTTTCCCTTTTTCATATTTAAAATGCTAGAGGGAGCGACATTTCCCGGGAAATTACATCGTTCCATCGAGTCAAACATTTTGAGAAAAGAAAAAATTCAAAGCTCGTGATTGTGCCGAGCGATACAGGCGCACCCCCTGACAAAATAACAACAATGTACGGTCTCGGGGCAACGAAATTTCACGCAGGAACTTTGTGTATCCCCCGGGTTCCACAAAGAATCTAGGTGAAACGAGAAGAGGAAGAGGACAAAAAGAGGATGAAGATCGGCGGTGGGTGTAACAGGGGAGAAATATATAACTCACCGGTTAAAACCAGTGCGTCTGTGCGGGGCTGATTCAGTGAGGTGCGGCCCAATGGGTAACGTCTCGGCGCGTTTTGAATGCCTCAACATACCTACGAGGCCAGTCAGATTCTCGCCGCTCTTCCGTTAACCCACGCGTCTTGGCATCCGCGTGTTTATTGTTCCGGCGAACTTTTCTTCGCACAAATAACTGAGTGCGGTGATGAGGGAGGCATTCAACACTTCAATAAATTCATCGACATTTATTTATTCAATCGTCGAGTTTTTTATTACGTGCTGGTGATATTTTTAATGTAATCA